AACGGGCCTGTGCATGACCGGGGTAACCACGTTGACACGGGAGCGCGGTAACCATGGCGACGTGGGTGATGGCAACAGGCATGCGCGTGGGCAGGGTAACCATGGCGACACACGTGTGCAGGAGCACGGTCACCATGGCAACAGGCGTGTGCAGCACCGGGGTAACCACGGCAACGGGGAGCAGGGCAACCACGTGCGCGGGATGACGGTAACCATGGCAACGCAGGTGGGACCAAGGTAGCCGCGGCAACACACGTGTGCGGGGCCACGTGGCCACACGTGTGCGTGCAGCCAGGGTAGCCACGAGGACACGCGTGTGCAGGACGGGGGTAACCATGGGGACACGGGAGCGGGGTAACCACGGCAACAGGCGTGTGCAGGACCGGGGTAATCCTGGCAACATACGTGTGCGAGATGGCACAACCACGGCATCATACGTGTGCAGGATGGGGTAACCACGGCAGCAAGCATGTGCAGGACCAGGGTAACCTGAGCACCACGCATGTGCAGGACGGGGTAACCATGGCAACATATATGTGCAGGATGGGGTAACCACAATATCATACATGTGCATGATCATGTAACCGTGGCAACATACGTGTGCAGGATGGGGTAACCGCAGCAACACACATGTGCAGGACCAAGGTAACCACAACATCATACGTGTGCATGATCGCATAATCATGGCAACATACATGTGCAGGATGGGGTAACCACGGCAACAAGCGTGTGCATGATCTCGTAACCATGGCAACATACATGTGCAGGACCAGGGTAGCCACAGCACCACGTGTGTGCAGGATGGGGTAACCATGGCAACATATGTGTGCAAAACCAAGGTAACCACAACATCATACGTGTGCAGGATGGTATAATCACGGCAACATACGTGTGCATGATCGCGTAACCATGGCGACATACATGTGCAGGATGGCATAACCATGGCAATAAGCGTGTGCAGGACCAGGGGGCCAGGGGTAACCACGGCAAAATACATGTGCAAGACCAAGGTAACCACAACATCATACATGTGCATGATCACATAACCACGGCAACATACGTGTGCAGGATGGGGTAACCACGGCAACAAGCATGTCCAGGACCACGGTGACCACAGCACCACGCGTGTGCAGGATGGGGTAACCATGGCAACATACATGTGCAGGACCAGGGTAACCACGGCAACATACATGTGCAAGACCAAGGTAACCACAACATCATACATGTGCATGATCAC